ATTGCGAATCGTATTTTTGCACGACAAGCCAATTCAGTTGGGAAATACGAGCGCGATGCAAATTCCATGCCCTACGCGCAGAAAGGTTTACGAGTGTTCCCGTTGTCTGAGGCCGCGATAGCCGATATCACTGTCACTGGGATTTTAGTGGGCTCTCAGTCGTGAAAACATACGTTTGCACTTTACGTTTACGAGTGTCTATACCGTTCAGCGATTTATGAGCTGTAGCTGAAAATGATGAACCGCGTTGAAGAACGCGATGAAGTAACGAATAATTTTCTAGGCCACCATAATATTATTTTTTTAAATCACTTCTGAAAAACCATGTTTGAATTAATAAATTTATTTTATAAATTTTCATTCATTTTTGTATCGACATATATTCTTCCTCTCTCTCTCTCTCTCTCCCTCCTCTCTCTTTCTTTCTCTCTAGCTTTGCAATTTTCTTTCATTTATAAAATAAAAATATATATCGTCATAAAGCAAATAAGCATTATATATTTTGCACACATATTGTGCTGCTATTAAATCTTCTTTCAGTAAAAAATTATTGTAAACATTTTTGAGAGTATTTTTATTATTTTTATATTTAATAAATTGAAAATCAATATGCAATATTTTTATTTTATTTAAACCCACAGACTTCTATATATTATACCTAGACTTTTAACAAGGCTATATATATAGGATATATATTGCCCAATTGTAAATGGCTGCTCTGGCTTTATTTGTCATACCATTTATTGAAGAGAGAGAAAGAAAAAAGAAAGATTCACTACCATTTGTTTTATTACCTGACAAGCCGGTTCTTAAATAGAAAAAAAGACGGATTATGATTGAAAACTCATACTTTTTTAAGTATAGGAATGTAATAAAGTAGTTACAACTAGACCTAGAGATAGAATCTCTAGATAGTTGCTATGGTTCCCTTTATTTTACTTAACCGTTGAATCACTAAAAAGCATTCATGTTTTGTTATAAACAAGAAGTGGAGTTGTTCTTCCTTCGACCCTTACGGACGTATATCTCAAATCTCTGTAATAAACGGTGTGTTTGACCTACCCCAGCTTTTAACTACGTATCCTGACAACGTTTTCCTAAAACGGTATTACAGTAAACAGCTTCAAAATAATTTGGCAACTCATAAATAATACCGTTTTCGAAAATATAATCTTTATACATGTGTCTTTATGTATCTTATTTGTTATCACTATTACCCTAATATCACAAAAAATAATTCATCGCATTTATATTATTATTCAGATCAATATTATTATTAATTAGATTTTCAAAAAGAGTCTCTTAATTAATCCAATTTAAAATCAAAACTATGTAATTATAATTCTAATTTTAGAAATTATTTATTTATTTATAGCAAAATATGTCACTCGAATCTTTATGTATATTTAGATTTAGATTTTATTTCTTATTTTATGATGCAAAATATTACGTACAAAATTGATATATTTTCTATTATAAATTATTGCATTTTAGTGACTATTTCTTACAACTCGAATATTATAATTGAAACGTGTGCAACTGAGAACAGATGTTCGCAACGGAACACTTAATCAAAACTTTCACTCTAGATTTAATTGTATCTTTATGCTGTATCAACCCATACAAAAGATTCTTTTAATATTTGATTTTAATATTTTTCTCTATGCTTTCTGATCAAAAATTTTTATCTGTATATATACGCAATTAATTTAAACGGATACCAACATTTCGCTATACATATATTTTACGTTTTAATAGTGTACATTCTGTGTCAATACACACACATACACACACACACAGCTTGGATATAACAACAAACCGTATGGACTGACGCATCACTTTTCTCGTTCCTTTTCCTGAGTTCTTTTTTGCTCGTGAATATCTCCGTACGATATCAGGCCGATTATGTTTTTCATAACACGGGGCGATCAGAGCAACATGTACGGAACGATAAATCTTATTTGTTTCCATGTCGCTGGGCAGCTCCGACACCTTCGAAAGAATGAGTTTATATCTTCGGGAGCAGAATCGAGTCTATATTAGTCCCATCTGCCTTCTCCAAAAGGGCTTCTGCATGAGCGAGCATGCATACTAGGATGAGACTGCGACAGACAAAAAGGAACGGATGGCCAAACGCGTAGATACATCCGGATTATACGCGGCCAATTGATCACGAATCTGACGGTGTCTGCCATGCCTCTCTTGTTGCCATACATCGGCAAATTTACAGGAGTTCCTTTCGCAGAAAGCATCTTCACCTTACGATCGCGATCAATAAAGTTTCAAGAACACGCCCTTATAAAAAAATTAATTGTGTTGTATCATGTAAAAATCTCTTCAAATTTTATATAATTATCATTATAATCTGTCATCATTATATTGTATATCATTCAAAAGTGGCTATCTAAAATATGTTTGTTTTATATTGCGTACATAACACAAGTATTCTCAAGTGTATTTATTTAAATATAATGTTTTTTTAAGTACACAGAGAAGTTCGACTAATTCATAATTATGCTAATATATTTAGAAAATACGCACTGTGTTCAAAAAAGATTTAGTAATCACAATTATATCAATAATGTTATAATAATGGTTATATCTGGTTTGATTCTCATATTTCATGAGATTTATAAAAGAGAAAAAGACACGCGATATACACTAAAAGATAATTGGATTATATAAATCTTGTAGGTAAATATACGTTTCGATATTATCTCGATGAAATTAATCGTTAATCGAGGGAACGTGATGGATGATTTGACACATAAGAAGAGTAAAGATCGCGAGGGAAAGACAAAAACAAAGAAAAAGAAACTAAAAAAGAATAATCATAAAAAGCGACAAAGACAGAAGAATATCTATTCGAACAAATAAGAGAGAGACGGAGAAAAAATGAAATCTCGAGAAACGGAGAGATGAATCAGAGAGAAGAAAAAAAAAACAATAAGTAATAGATTTTAAATGTACGATTCGATTTTTATGGGTGGACACATCTTCCTTAATTTGCGGCACCTATGTCACGCATCGTCTCTCGACATTTTATTAAATCGATCGCTGGATTTTATTGTAAACACGCTAGATTTCTAATACACGTGCGTCGTTGAGAGACTCCGATGTTTCGAAAGAAAGAATACCTCTCTGATGTGGAAATTGTTCGGTCACATACAATTTGAATTTAGCTGACGTAGATCCATTGCTACGCACGTACTAATTGCACTAATTAATTTCTCAAAGGCGGAATATAAAACGAGGAAACCTTTCAATGATGAAAGTGTGAGAAAAGTACGAGAGGTAGAGTTTCAAGTCGGCATTTATCGCGCGTGCATTAATTGAATAATCTGGCAGATAACATCCTATTACATATAACGGATTTTTATATTCTATAAAATAATAAAATGATACGGCGAGTTTATATACACACGAATAAATAAATCACACTGGTAATAATTGTATATATTCTATTATGCTGAGAAGGTTTCTTTATTCTCTTGTCAAATGATCTAGAACATGTAAAAGCTATAAATGTATGCACCCACAATGCGACATGGAAAAATATATTGAATGCAAAATACTACAGGTGGTCGCATAGTGTGTCTGTTAAAAGAATTCGCTGTTATTTTAAAAGGTTTCTTTTCTAGATCAAAACAGTGCGAGAACTGTTATCAATCATCAAATATATATAGTTTACCTAGTTCAAAAAATACTAAAAAATAACAATAGATTAAAATAACTCTTTTCTGCAATTATACCCTTTTCCAAATTGTATGACAAAAATAATACTATATAAAATAACAATACGTTAAAATAATCTCTAATCCTGCAAATTTAACTGAAAAATTCCTCGAATTGTATCATAAATCGTACTCAGGAGAAAACTTTTAACTTTTAGCATGGAGTCGCAAATTTTTCGTAAGAAAAATTCCATTATCATGAAAGATTAATTATTATAAACATAGTTATACTGCAGTGAAAGATAATTATACAGTAAAAAAATGTGATAACCTCGTTGATATTTTTAAGTAAGTCAAGTATTGTATTAATGCAGCCATTAAATATTCCGAAAAAAAAGAGGATTCGCTTGCTCATTTGCGACGACATTAGCCGCCAAGGGAATGTGGAAACCATATGTATGCATTATCTAGCGCACGCGAGTAAAACCTGTATAGGCGCCGTAAAGAGCTTTCATTCGAACCGCGAGTGTCGCGTAGACTAATCTCTCTCTGTGGTTAGATTCTGGAGCGCCGTAAGAGCGTTGTTTTGAATACCTGGCAACGACGAGGAAATCTTGTCTGCGCTTGAGGAAAATGGTGTTCGCATTAGAAGAAATTGAAAATATCTTTGTGACTTCAACCAGAAAAAAAAAACGCGAAAAAAAGTGTAAAATCCGTTGACGTGATTTAAATATCCGCGTGACGCGATGATAATAGAACAGAGCTACTTATTAGTGTATAAAAAGCAGACATATTGTCACAGAAATCGTGACGGTTTTTCCGGCAATTAAATCAAGATATTTGGATAAAAAAGATCAATGGAGATGTTTGATCAATTTAAAGACTCATTAATAAAATAACATAGTTGTTCATTAATAAAATGACGTAGCAAGTCTCATATTCTAGTGCATAAATCTGTATATTAAAGACCTATCTAGTTAGAAAGGAAGGAAATGAAAAGAAAATAGAAAAATCGAAATGGCAAACTCTCTCTCTCTCTCTCTCTCTCTCTCTCTTGCTATGTTTTCGCGCTGCTCATACATTAATGTTTCTGTAACATAAGGGTTCAACGGTATAGTCAGCGAATAAACTAGCAAAGTAGTAGTATTTGTGGCTGACAAGAGCTTTCAAGAGTGGTGGACCCGGTTACAAGTGGGGACTGATGGGTGGCACTTATATAGCCTAGGTATCAGGAATCCACACCGATTGGTTGGTCGATCGGTCTGAGACTGGGTCCGTTGGCGGGCCCATACACAGGCGTGAACCGATAGGTGAAGAACAGCTCCCCAGATGGCTCACTACACGGATGATAATCCTTTCCTTCGGTACAGCACGGTTCTCTTCGGGCGCTTCGATGCAGTCAAACAGGTCTGAGAAATCGTACAGCTCCAGTCCTTTCTCGTCCATCGCCGTAGTCGCACCGTCACATGTGCGCATATGAGAGAGATAGAAAGAGAGAGGGGGAGGGAGAGAGAAAGAGACAGAGTGTATACAAAGCAATCACGAGCAGCGAGGAAAAGAGGTGAAGGAAAAAATCGCAAAGAAATAGCGGGGCAAACAGAGGAGAGAAGGGGAGGAAGGAGAGAGAAAAAAAGCGCAAAAGAATAAAATAGATAAAATGGGACGAGGAGGTGCGCGAATTACGATCAATTAGTGTCGTATTATTCATTCGGCGATATTGAATTAAAGCGACGAAAATTCCCGGTAGTGTCTTACAACAAAACAAGAGATTTAGAAGAAACGATACTTTTAAGAAAATGTAAACAAGCCTCTCTACGGAAAAAAAAAAACTTTCTTCGGATTTCAACATTAGATAACTGAAAAGGAATGTGTGGTCCAAAATTCTAAAGAGAGAGCAAATATTTCTCAAAAATAATACAAGAGACAAATGCAATGTGTAACGTATGATAGGACTCGATTATTCTTTGGCGGGAATACATTCTTATCGTTGGCTTAGTGAAACGGAAAACGGAATAGACTGACACAACGTGGATATACAATTTACTTGAGGTGAGTGGCCTGATTTTACGCATTTTGACAGTGTCTACAGAAATATTTCGTATTATATTAACGACATTTGTTAGTACTTTTGCTATTATGATTATTATATGTAATACTTTTTAGTAATTAAATTGATACATGCATTGTTCACACGGTATGAAATACTTCTATTAGATAGTTTGCGAGTATTTAAAAGTCTTTGGTGGATATTTGCACTTATTGTCAGAGCATTAAAGTCTTCACACTTTCGGATCCAAGTTCATAATAATTTTGCCTTGTATAAAGACAGTTATAAGAGAATTTCTCAATGATTATTTATGTTATTGTAACATATATTGTCTATTTATTATTTTCATGGTAGCGATCATTCAATTATTAATTAGTTAATGCAGAACGAATAAAGTAAATATTACAAAAATGTAAAATACATAGAACTTATGATTTTTGTGTGATTTCTACCTTTTATTTAAAAATATTAGAAATTAATAAATGTTATGATAAAGAATGTATAATAATTGATCATTTATATAAAATATTAATAGCAAACTTAATATTTTATATAAATGATCAATTATTATACATAACACATTTGAAATAAATATTTATTTTTCTATTTTCTTCTTCAAATATTTAATTATTAAATATTGGAAGAAAGAAAAAGAAAAATAGAAATTAGAAATTGTAAGTAAGCGTATCGTTGACGTTGATCATTGCATTGCCGCCTATGCATACTCGTACCCTTTGGTCCCGGGAAAATATTTATGACTTTTATGCTTTCTTGACCGCCAGAGAAGAGGGGGCAGATGGCAGAGCTCTCTCTCCAACGTGCGATCTCACGTGCGGTTAGCCGTCATCAAATAAAAACATTATCGTTACCCTTCATCTCTTCGCCTGTTGCTATAATATTTGCCTACTGGTAGTCGGTACAGTAATTCGGTAACACAAAGGGCCCAAAGGATGATGCTATGCCCGCGTACGTGCGACAGAGACAGCCATTACAATTATTATACATAAGAACGTCGGCGAGGCTCTCCCATGTCAAAATATATTTATTGCTCTTCCCCTGCCCGCGCCCCATATCCTTGGCCCCTGGTGCTCTTTTTCTTCACATCGACTGCGGTGTGTCGGCCACCTTTGTTACCCTTTCATACGGTTATTACCCACTTGTATACCCGGCAAGCTCTATGCCCGCGAGAGGTCCGAAAAAGAGAGAGAGAGAGAGAGAGAGAGAGAGAGAGAAAGATGTATCTTCTCTCTTTCTCGTCTCTGATCTTTTTCTCGTTCTTGTTCCTCGCGCACCAATTCATCGCGCACGCACGTGCACGCGTACATTCCCGCAACGAGTTGCGTGTGCGCTCAAGGACGCATCTTCATTTCGGTGGGCTAAATAAGAAAGTTAAAAAAACAATATAAATTTTTGCATAAAATAAAATCACAGCACGAATGAATTTACAATGAGATTAAAACTGACAATTTAAAAACTGTAGATTGAGATTTATTTAACTAAAAATTTATGATATGTTTCCCGATCATAAAATATGAGAGAATTAATTTCTTTGATTAATTTTAATACTTCAATTTTGAGCTTTTTAATGGCACAAATATTAATCTTTTTTGTAACAAAAAATTCAATGTAATAAGATAATTGGCAACAAAATTTCTCTTTAAAAAAAAAGTGTAAAAAAATCACATTAGAAATATGTTACATTATTTTTTTTATATCGGATTATATGTATTCACATTTTTTATATTTACATTACAAATACGTAATTGTTGAAGCATTTCCTCGAATCATCTTTGATCTAGTGATACACAAATATTAGATTTGCATGGTATCTTAGTTTAGTACAACGGGCGACGCAAGCCTAAAAGTTGTTTCGCGTCTTATTTACATATTAACCCCTTCCGGCTCGTCGTCTCGTCACGGGTTCGTGATCTGACTTAACGCCTTTTTGCTGCCGCTACATTGCCACCCTTTACAACAGCCATGCGGGAAGTACCGAGAATCGTGACAAATACGCGTATTATCTTTTTTGTCCCATTCCGAATGGAGCCCAAGACCCTGACCTAACCGCGGCGGTAAAGCGTAAATGGAATACTCGATTAAAGATTCTGTGTCTTCAAATCCAACTCTCTCACGTGGTAGTCACGTTGCATTGATCAAGAAAAAATCTTTTATGTATAAATATATAAATTTCTTAACGTGTGCAAAACTAGATTACTGTCTCTGCACATAAAAAATTTTAAAATTGTTTCCGTTTTCTTATAAATAAATTGAATTGAAGTTTATATAAGAAAAAGTAATCGAATCTCTTATTGTGTTAGAAAAATATATGCTAGGATATTTTCTTAGAATAGATATAGCGAAATGCAACGGTCGAGCGAGACTTAAGTGAAACGTGCAGATGCGTGGAAATGTCAGTCTCTCTTTTTATCTTATCTAGATCGTTTAAAAGGTGCATTTAACGGTACGCACGCAAATTACCCGTTACTTTTCTAATCTAAATCGATGTTCTTTGTTCTGCTCCGCGATAACATGAATTACACCGATCTACACTCGGTCCCGCTTCCGTTAAGATGAGGACATGCTTACAAAAAGCGACCGTGTTGAGTGAAGGATTGAATCGTCTTATCGCGTGAAACTCGTCGCAGACGAGGGCAAAAGATAATCGTGAGCATAGTACATTCTTGAGTACAGTGGTTATACGTCTCGAGAGAGAACTGTTAGACTTGCAGCGAGAGCATTTCTTTGCAAATGGTTGTTTTCAAAGAACATCAAAGAATCCTACGATTGTGTAATGTGTATCATATTTGTAAAATGATGAAATAGCTATATAATAATAAAAATATTTAATAATGAAATAAAATATCAATATATTTAAATAATACTAGATGAAATGTGCTTATCTTGCAAACGATTCGCGATAGAAATTTAAATTTAATTTCTAGACAATGCGTGCTATATTACTTAAATCGTGCATTTATATTAAGTTAACGGTTAGTCGAGAACTTCGGAGATTTCTTCAACAAGATCACATATAACATTTTAAATGTCGCTTTCGTGGAAATTGTATTTAAATCGCGGCTGACGCGCGGCTACACAATCGAGTATACAAATATACACACATATGTAGATATATATACACACACGCGTGAAAATCTGCCGGTGCTCTTTCAGTTTGCGATATTGCAGGCGTCGTTACAAGACCGTGCCTTCGGCCTTTTATGAGATTATAAATCAATGATGGCGCGCTTAATCGCCAAATAAAGGGAGATTAAATTGCGCCGGCGAGGCATACCGGTCTCGTGTGTCTTGGAGTATAAGCGGAAGACAGATATAAAACCCGAAGCTTTTATTCGAAGGGACCCATCATTATAATGCGCGGTTATTTAACGAGTTCCGTCTCCACAGTTGTTCATTTCTTTCACTTCGCTAAAAATTATACATGTATACGAATATTGTTTCTCACAACTCTGTGCTCGATGATTATATATTTAATAAATGTATTAATCGAGCAAACACATTTAATTGTTCCATTGCAATTTTTTTTTTTTAATAACATATATTCGTTATAATATGTATTTCGTTAAAAATATGTATTAATTCTTGATTGATTAAATATTGATTCTTATAATTTATAAAAATATATTTATGAATAAATTCTTATGCATTTTTTTTCTTAATTTTTTTCGTTCGGTACAATATAAAATTCAAAATAAATTGATAATGCAACGACTGCTTTTCCTGTAAATCGGCCAATAATTTTTTTCATCGAGTTCGCAATAATGTTACATTTGGCACTTCAAAACACGTCATTCGTGAAACATATCGTGGAAGCAGCTGACTCTCGTCTAAAGCGCTGGTGCGAGGCGTTGCACATATGTATTCACATTCATACACGAAGACATAACGCGGGCATAACGAATCACAGTACTTCCAAGAGGAGCACCCATCACGATTCCCACAAGTGCGAGAGGGTCGTGCACGACCGTTCTCGATTGACTCTTGAGTGGCGGACGCAGAATCGCTGTTAAAAATCGGATCGGTCACGGCTCGAGGAGACAGACAATGTCGTCGTCTACGACGTGGCTACCTGCGCCACAGCGTTTATGCGCTCCGTGCTAGCTCGTTTCTCTAACGTGAGGCTAAACTGTCGCGATAAATGATCCTCCGGAAGGTTATTAATTGTCTTTGGCTCCCGGCCGGGCGCATTGTAGATCGCGAAAACATTAACCGAAAAGAAACTCCGCTTTCTACCTTGCCATATGCTCGCGGATGATATATATACAGAGTGTGATGAGAAATCGCGCACTATGAACTGGAGATCTTAGGGAAATTTGGAGATGAATTTTTGACAAAAGTTTTTCGTTCCATGCCATTCTTTCTATTTTTTAATTAATATCTTTCAATCAAATTTAATGTTCAAATCATATTTTATTGGAATTTATTTGCTAGATTAATTTTTTTATTTGCGCTCCTATAAAGTTTAATTGGGTAAAAATATTTAATTTCAAATTTAATTTCTTTTTAATTCAGTATTATTCATGTTCTAATATTACGATAATCATTATCCTTTTAATTTTGCATATTTATTTTATGTAAAAATATATAATATATAACTACATTGCTTTTTTTATATACACCCTGTATACTGGCGCATTGCTACGTCTATATACTCCCGCTAAGATATGTGTGCGCGCCAATGCACAGGATCATTTTTCAAGGATTCGATCGACGTGTCCGTGAATGAGCCACTACCATCCATCAAACCGATCGTTAAAAACGCATCGATGCCAATACAAATTGCGCCGGCCGCATGTTACA